AGAGAAATAGGAACCCACCCTGCCCTGTATTTTTATCTGAAAGGTTAATTTCATTTATCTTCACGTTGTAAACCACATGGGATCAAAGCAAAAGAGAATATAAAAAGTGAACTTGAGACAGGAGGTGAAATTCTAATAGTAGTTTATTACTGGGTCATTAAGTGGGATTTCAGTGTTTTCTGTCGTTTGTTAAACCAGAGGGCGTCACCCTCCATTCGTGCATAAGAGGAATAGCCGGGTGTTGGAAAGTCCCTGTGTGTCCGAGGGACCTGTCAGACAGGGAGAGACAGGAGGGGCTTTATCTGACGGAGCCAAGGTGACGGCCAGAAATTGCCAAACACAAATTAGTGGGCGAAACTCCTTCTGTCTTGCTTCCTGGATTGGAATTCTCAGACAGGGAACTGCGGGCGCTGATTAATTAGAAGACATCACTGAAACGTATCGTAAAGGCACATGGAGCGTCTGGGGCCATCGGGAGGGGCTCGGTGTCAAGCCTTTTTCGTTATTTTCCGGCCTCATAATCCTCTCTTCCGAATCGGTGGATTTTAAGTTGGCTGATGGAAACGTACCTTGGCAAAGACTTATTTTATGTTCCTTACACTGTTATCTCCCCCCCTTTCTGAGCAATGTTCTTTATTCTAAAAGCTCTATTTTCAATTTTCAGAGCTAAACTTCGAAGCCTGAGAAGTCGCAGTAATGGTTTTATTTTTCTCAGTTCATACTGATTTCCTGTAGTGTTCTGGTTGGGAGGATAAGGGAAAGTGCTCATTTTTTCCCTTAAAAAAAATGAACTCTCTATTCAGTAATAGCAGTGTGGATTTATTATTTTTACAAAATAATTAATTAGCCCGGACAAAAGCAGAGACTGTTACAGCTCGCAGGAGCTCTGGAGAACATTTAGTCCGGCCCCTTTATTTTGCAGACAAAAGAAATCAGGTCTAGAGAACACAAGTCATCTGTTCACAGGTACCGACCGGGCTCTTTGTGGGTGGGGTTAGGATTTGGCCTTAGGTTACCTGACCCCAAATTCACCATTCTTGTAGTATCATTTGATATTAAATCACTTTTTTATTTATAAAAAAAAATTGTTCTAAAAATGAGGTCAGTAAAAGAAATGTAGATTTATTCTGCAGTACAAAGTCATGGACTTTTATGTGTATCTCTACATTTCTGTACCTTTGTTCCATTTGAAAAACATGTGGACATAAGGAGCTTGGGTAACTTAACTTTGAAGCTAAAGGTAATGTTATTTTTGTGTGGAGTATGCTGCTTCTAACTAGGCAGAATTTCAATAGCAAATGAAGTGTGAACCAAACATCCTAATCCACCGAGTGAGTGACAGACAGCATATTATAAATTTCTTTTTATATTTGAATGATACGATGATTATAAAAATGCTTTGGTAGCTGTTCTGTTCACATAATCAACCCTTGAATACGGTTTCTTGTTACTGTCCCAGTTTTGCAGTAGAACCTTTATGGAAAGAGACTTATGTTGTTCTGAGTTATGTAAATTTCCTGTGCATTGAGTGAGTCAGGAGAGGTGAATTTGGGGTGAAGAGCTACCATAGAAAATCAGACCCCATTCAGTTCATGATTTCACGTGCAGTGGAACAGAGGTAGAAGGGCTTAGATTGCTGCCTGCCACACCCACTGCTGCCTGGTGAGCGTGGCACCTTGTGTGGTCCAGACCTTCAGCAGCGGCCTTGACTAGGGGCTTGTTGGAAACTCATACTCTTAGGCCCTCCCCCGACCTGCTGAATCCAGATTTGCCTTTCAGCAAGATTCTCACATGATTTATGTGCACGTTGAAGTTTGAGAAGCGCTGGGTTACAGTATGTTTTGTAAGGATGCAACTTTTATTAATTGCACAAAGGTATTCATGATAACTTTGGATGTGAAATCTGCCAGATACAAAGGTACTAATCTTGAACCTTGCACTCATGCGTTCAGTCAGCAGATATCTGTTAAGCTAGCCAAGCTATGTTTTGGAGAGGAAAGATGGTTAAGACACTGTCTGCCTTCAGTAAACTCAACAAAGCAGATGGGACCCAGTGTTAGACATTTGTATAGGATATTTCCAGGCTTCAGGAGTTATCCAGCTTAGCATGTGTGGAGCAGGGAGGAGGAAGTAGAATCAAAGACAGCTTTTTGAGCTAACTCATAAAGGAGAAATAAGCACATACTACTTTCTACTGATGATAACAGATCACCACAAACTTAGTGGCTTCCAACCATTTATGGTTCCGTCATTCTGTCTGTAGATCAGATGTCCAGGCATGGCTTACATAGAGTGTCTGCTCAGAGTCTCAAAGGGTAAAATCAAATGGTTGGCCTGGCCAAGTTCCTTTAGGAGCTCAGTGGCCTCTTCCGAGCTCATGTGGTGGTCTGCAAAATTCAGTTCCTTGTGGTTGTAGGACTGAGGTTCCTGCTTTCCTGCTGGCTGTCCAGCAGGGGCTGGTCTCAGCTCCAGGAAGCCTGCAGGTCCTTGCTGCATGGCCCTCTCACTATGTGGCACCCACTGTTACAGGCCAGCAGGAGACGCTCCTCCAGTCAGCTGAGGTGGAGACATACATCTTAATGCATTGAGGGGTGATGTCCCGTCACCTTTGCCATGTTCTTGGCAATTTGAAATCTGGCAAAATACCTGTGATAGCTGCCATTAATTGTCTGCCATGAGGCACGTGCTTACTAAGGCTTTACCTGTGTATCTCTAATCCTTACATCTCAGTAAAGAAGTTATTATCTCCAAGTCACAAATTAGGAAACCGAAACTCAGAGAAGTTAGATCGCTTGCCCAGGGTCACACAGCTGGTGAGGGGAGGAGCAGGAGTGTGAACTCTCAGCTGACTCCAAAACTTGAACAGAACAGAACCCTCTTACTGTGTGTGAAACACCCAGCAGCCAAGGAAGCATATTTAAATCAGGCTGTAGTTAAGTACAGCATCGCGGCTCCGGTACTTGGATCGATGGGTCAGTGACAGAAACAGAGGAGACAAGCCGCAGGCAGGAGCCAGTGCCCCCGGGGATTTAATGTGCAGAACCCTTATCTTAGACTGATGAGGGCGGGGGCTGTCCCTTAAGTGGTCTTGGGACAGGTGAGTAGCCATCTGGGCAAAAATAGCGTGTCTTAACTTCACACCATGTCCCGGCACAAATTCAGATTTGTCAAAGATTTAAGTGTAAGAAGTAAACTGTAAGTGTAACAGACACAAACAGAGAAGAAGGTTTTTATGTGGGAGTGGAGAAGGGTCTCACTATCACTCACCTCTAGAAGCCACGGAAGGAAAGTCTGATAATTTCATTTCTCAAAATAACAAACAACAAAAATCCCTGCATATTAAAAATCCTGTAAGAAAAGTGAAAAAGAGAAATGACTAACTGGGAAAAAAAATAAATAATGCCTCTCATATTGTAGACAGAAGGCTAGTCTTCCTAATTTATCAAGACCGAAAGATGAGTCATCATTCCAACAGAAAAATGGGCCAAGGCTGTGAAGAGGTACTTCACGGAAGAGGAAATACCAGCGGCTTTAAAATATACAAAGGGATCTTCAACTTCTTCATAATGAAACAAATGCTAATAAAACTGTAGTGAGATACTACTTTTCTCTTCATCTTGGAAGAAAATCCAGAAATTTGGTAACATGCCCTGTTGGCGAGGCTCTGGGAAAACAGACCTGATCTGGGGCTTGTGGGGCTCATGTGGGGCCGGACTGGCAGGACATCTGACCCGGCACATCTGCTTCTGAGAAGATTCTGTACACATCCCGGCACGTGTGCAAAATGCTGCATGTGCTGGTTTTTCACTGCAGCATTATATGATTGGAAAAAAGACTGGGTGACAATCTAGACATGAAATATCCATTCAATGTGATACTGTGCAACCACCTAAAGAAGGAGCATGCTCCCACCACCTGATGGCGATCTCCAGGCCATTTTAAGTGAAAAGAAAGATAGAAAACAGTATTATGATGCACTGTCTCTTGTGCACAAGAGCGGAAAGAAAAAGAATGTATCTTTTTCTTTTTTGCATGTTTATAAAGAAAACTTTGCAAGGCTATTTCCAAATCTAGTAATGATGATTACTGGGTAGAGGTATCTTGAGTTGACGGGATGGGGGAGGACAGACAGATAAGTAAGTTTTCATATGAACCTTGAACCATATGAACTTTAAGCTAAGGCATCTCAAGGAATCTATCACAATCAATTCTATTGACTATAGAAGCAAACGGCAGTCTGATGCAATCATCTTCAGTCTTGTCGGTTTGGTTTGCTCACCTCATCAGTAAAGAAACTATAATCACATACTAGATATATGTGGATTATTGAACATTTATATGATATACGACTGCACAAATTGTATTTTGTACCTTAAAGCCAGACTAAGAAGCAAGCAAGTACAATATAAAAATGAAATTTAATAGTGTACTTAATCACAAAATAAATTCTAATTAAACAGTTAAATACTAGTTTGCACTCATTAAACTATTAATATGCATGATTCTTTTTTGAAACCTTGATTCAAAACTTTGTGTTACTGTCATCTGAAGTTTCCTTTTTGGGCTGGGTTTTTATGGTTGTTGGCATTAAGGTGACCAGCCCTCCTGGTCTGCCTTGGACCGAAGGGCTGCCCCACTGTGTGACTTCAGTGCTGTGACCGGGCCAGTCCCAGGCAACCTGGGACAGCCAGTCACCCTCATCCTGGCTTAAAGAGATGTGCCCCAGAGTTATGCAGGAGGGAGCTGAAGGGACAGCTGTTGGCCAGACGTACTAAGTCCTGGTAGTCCTTTGTCACCAACATCCATCAGTGAGGCAAAGGTTCTGTGTAATTCACTTGCTGAGTTTTCATCTTCTTTGATGACAGTCAGCTTTTCTTGGAAACTAATCAGAAGTATTGCATATTTACATTTCCTGGCTTCCTGCAGACAGGAAAGTTAGTTTTCAGTGTTCCACACAAATATCCAGAAAGAGGGTCTCAACCACATTTTCTGTGTTCTAGGAGCAAGCTGGAGAAGAGAAGAAGCCCAGGGATGGTGGGACCCCCTTGAGTCACGGTAATAGTCACCACTCTTTAGTTTCATTTATAATGAATGACTTTTAGATGGCATTTTTATTAGGTAGCTGTAGTTGGTTTAGATTTATTAATGTAAATCTGTGATAATAGTACCATTTATTGACAGTGTTTCACATACTCAGAATTCTGAGACTATCAGTGTCATCTAAGATTTTCAAATGTATGTATGTCTCAAGAAAAAGTCTGAAGCCCTTATCTCATTTTTTTGCCTTTTAAAAAAGCTTTGAGTAAAACAGCTTCTGATTTGTGAACTTGTGCCTGTGAACGAGAAAATAAGTGATGCTACTTAGTTTATTTATAATGCTTTGCTTGAGCTTTTCCCAGATTGGTTTAATCTTCTAATGATCGCATTCGTACTCTTCTGTGGAAGTTGTGCTTCAGAAGAGATTGTACATTTGCTCCAAGACAAATATCCCTAATTAGGGGTATTAATATATCAATAGGTTTTACATAACAGCTTTTTAATATTCAACTAATTCTCTGATGCTTTAAATTTAAATCAACACAGATGCCACTTCCCTGGAATATCTGTTCCACACACATTGTGATTAATGCTGCACAAACAGAGAGCTGCTATTAAATTTTCTGTAAAACATAGTTGAATATCCAACAACATTTGTGCTGTTCTCGATGGGAAGGAAGCATGTAAATTTGATAATTCTCCCCTAATGACCTTATAAAGTCCCATAAGTATGTGTTGAGCAAGCTTTTTCCCCTCTAATAATGGAAACAACTGAAAAGCCTTAAAAGGATGATAACAAGTATTGAGGCTTTTAAAGACCATTTTATAATGCTTAGTCTTAGGACAGAATATTGAAAATTTGTGATCTTCTACCTAAATGATTTTTGAAATGAAAGCTTTTGATTAGAGGCAAAATATACTGCTTTAAATTTCTTTCCTTTTTTTGCTGTTACCCCAAGTCCCACCATGTTCTTTGCTGAAAAAGCAAAATAGAATACAGTAATCTGACAATTATGTAACTTGGTGTTCAGCTTCATTGAAATGCACTCCCGTTATGCAACACTGGAATCGGGAAATAAATGTGGGCTGTACCTGCCCTAACAGCAGGGTTTTTTCCTAAAGATTTTTCCCTCAGAGAGGTTGTGATTTATGGTGGTGTTGTTTCTCCCCTACGGCTGTATTTTCACACTAATGTAAATTGTTTTAGATTCTTTTATTTCATGGTTGAAGCGTTTATTCTAGAAAAAGAAAAGCAGACTTAGGTCAACAAATTACAAATGTTCAGTCCCTCAACCTAAGGTTTTTTTTTTAATGATTTAGTATTTATAGTTTTCATCGTAGCCAATTATATGTTTGTCTCGAATCATTTTCCTGTTTTACTAGAAAGCAACTTTTTGCTGTTGTTCAGCCCCATTCAATAGTCAGTTGTCCCTTCCCCAAAGGGCCCTTCTCCAGCTGACTCTTCTCCAGGCCTGGTGCCGGTGTTGTAGCTGTTTTCTCTGGCTGTGGCGCGCAGCCAGATGTTTAGAAGAAGGATGAGGGTTGCTTTGTGTATACAGATGCTACAAACCGCTCGTTGAATGCAGACTGAATTGTTTGAGGGGCTTTTGAGGTGATTTATATTTTTACCACTTTGAATGGGATAAAGGAAACCATTCCCTAAATTGCCTATTGTTTTAGTAGTACAATGGGGATCTTCCTCCTGTAGTTCTTGGAAATAGATTAATTTTTTTCTGTAGGCTGCTTGCAAAATGAGATTTAGCCACTTACCTTATGTCTTTAAAATAATAACAAAAGAAAAACAAAAACTATGGACTCATGCATATTTATATGTGAACAGAAACTTGTATTGAAAAATAAACGCTTAATTTTTAGTAGTGATTTTACAACAAGCAAGATATTTCTTTGAAAATCACTACAAAACAATTTACTGGATGCCCAGTCTGTGCCGCTGACACTGGCCCCTGCGTAACAAGTGAGGGAGCTTTGTCCAGCTTCCTCGGGGTCAGCCCGACTAGGGAGCGGTGGCTGCGGGGACTGAAGCCGCAGTTGGGAGCTCTGAAGCCGTGGTGCTTTCCACTTCAGCTGTGGCCTTTCTACTTTATCATTTGGTAGCTCCATTTTTAGTTTTTTAAGGAACCTCTATCCTGCTTTCCATAGTGGCTGCACCAGTTTACATTCCCACCAGCAGTGTAGGACGTCCCCTTTTCTCCACAGCCTCTCCAGCATTTGTCATTTGTCGACTTTTTGATGATGGCCGTTCTGACCGCTGTGAGCTGATCCCTCATTGTGCTTTCGATTTGCGTTTCTCTGATAATTAGTGAAGTTGAGCATCGTTTCATGTGCCTGTTGGCCATCTGTGTGTCTTCTTTGGAGAAATGTCTATTTAGCTCTTCTGTCTATTTTTTGATTGGATTGTTTGTTTCTTTGGTATTGAATTGTACGGGCTGTGTATATATTTTGGATATTAACCCCTCGTCAGCTGCACTGTTTGCAGATACTTTTCTCCCATTCCATAAGTTGTCTTTTCATTTAATTTATAGTTCCCTTTGCTGTGTAAGAGCTTTTAAGTTTGATTAGGTCCCACTTGTTTATTGTTGCTTTTTTCTTCTGCCTTGGGAGGAGATTGCCTTGGGACTGATCTAAGAAAATAGTATGAAGATTTATGTCTGAGAATGTTTTGCTTTGTTCTCTTCTAGGAGTTTTGTGGTGTCATGTCTTATATTTAGTCTTTAAACCATTCTGAGTTTATTTTTGTGTGTGGTCTTTTAATTCAGTTGGTATTTAATATCTTAATTATCCTTGTGTTACACCTCCTGTCATGGATTCCCATCTTTCAGTCTTACAAAACCAAAACCATTTTTCAGAAATCTGTTAGTTTCTTGGTAATAAACTTTGCCAGTTTTATGTACTGAAAAAAATTCTTTAATTCCATGAATGCTTTAATAGTCCATGAAAGCAGACATCGTACTAAACTTTCATCTCACTGAAGGGCTTGCCCTTCCTTCCCCTCCGCCTCATCCCTCCCTGCGCCAGCTCAGCCCTCGTGCTCTGACGGGCTGGCCCTGTTTCAGGTGCCGCCCCGGGTCCCCGCACCTGCTCTGTCTGCCTCCTGTGTGTCTGACTCGGTTGTGTGTGTGCTGCTCAGACCCACTGACCCTGGAGCCCCTGTTAGGAATCCTTTCTCTGATGTCCCAGACGAGGCTGGGCTGTCTGCTCTGCACTCTCAAGGCCCTAAATGAGGCCCTAAATTCTATGAAAGCAGAGTGTAGTCTATAAGTATATTTTGGATTATTTGATTCTTCCCCACTAGACTTGGCAGTCTGCGAGTGAGGCCTCATGCCTGCTTCTGTCTGCTGCTGTGGCCATGGGGCCCAGCCCAGAGTGGGTCCCCTGCGCGTGTTGACTGCAGAGATGATTAGAGAAGGTGGCTGGTGAGGCTGCAGGCTGGTGGGGCCGTGTCTGCTGTGCTGAGCTGCCTGGACATCGAAGCAAAGTTAATAGACTTTGAGGCTTTGGGCAGGACGGTGGTGGCCTCTCCTGTGGGGAGAGGACTCTGGGCTACCCCTGGAGCAGGGTGGGGAGGGCAGGGGATGGCGGAGGGCCGAGGAGACGGCTGCTTGACTGTTCCAGGTTCTGCACATGCTAGGAGGGAGGGGCCCCCGGGTCTGGTGAAGGGCCAACTTCAGGGGCTGGAGCAGGTGTCACTGGGTCTAGTGTGGGTGCCAGTCACTGGCCTCGGGAATGTGGGACTGCACTGGAGGGGCAGTGCTGGGTCTTTGTCTGAAGACTGAGGGTCTGTGGAGCATTCAAAGGGTCTGGGTAGGAAGCTGGTGGGAGGGGTGGGAGGGGGCATCAGGTGTGTAGGCAGTAGGTGAGCCTGTGACCCAGGGAGACCTCTCTGGGGGAGCAGATTGAGCAGAAGGCTGAGGAGACAGACCCCCGCCCCGCCTGGTGCAGAGAGGAGAGTCCTGTGCGGGACGAAGATGGAGCCCCAGGACCTGGAGGGAGCGCAGGCCGGTGGGCTCCAGGGACAGGCCTAAGATGGTTCTCTTTGTGTCCCCTGGGGCCCCCCAGCACTCTGTACCCGTCCGTTCTGCCTGCAAGGGATCTGCCTCTGTGATGGAGATTCTAGAGTAGAAACCTTTTTTTCCAATTAACCATAAAGCTGTATAAAGCCAGGTTTTAGATGTTTATGACACTACTATTTTGATTTTCTTGAGTGTTGGATGGTATTCTCCCAAGATAAGCCTGTGGTTTGCTGTTTTCTTTGTGCTTTTAATTATCTGTAGTTGTCGTCACAGCACTCAGGACCTTGGGAGGAATTCTTTTTCTCTGATCGTTGTTAGCATAATTAATTTTTTATGGATGGCAAATCTGAATTCAATAATTCAGGATTTAATTTGACAAGGAAGCTATATTTTATTGATGATTTTTAAAGCGTGGAAGGGATGCTTGGGAATTAGAACCAGTTATTTAAATTAGTGCACATTTATGGCTTATCAACGTGATGGCTCCACAAAGTAAGACATTTATGCCAAAACTAAACCTTCTTTAGGGAAATCACTTCTTTCATATTTAAAATGATTAGCTGATTTATTGGATACGTCCCAGCTCTGACACTTTATGACTATATTTAAAATTATTTTGGAAAGTTAGCATTATAAACTTTCTGCACAAAAATGCTAGGATGGTGAAATGTTTTTCTAGACAGCACGTGCTAATACAAATCAGATCCCTGAACATAAGCCTAAAGAGAGAGGAAACATTAACTCTAGATGCATTTTCAAAGTTTTTTTTTATAATGTCTGTATTTTATGCAGTGAACCTTTGTTCAAATCAGAGAATACAATACCTACCATGTGATACTCGTGGTCCTAATCTCATTTATTACTTGTGAATTCCTTATTTTTTGTGTATTTAATTAAGTATGATTATTTGATCCATTTTCACAGTTGTTGAGCATTTAGAGACTTTTTGGTGGTGCGTCTGAGCCGTTTACTGTACTTGTTATTACA